CCACCATTGCCTGTGACTGGGTTTCATTAATATGTGAATTTTTAAGTGAGTTTACATTACTGTCCGTATGAAAGTAAGCAAAAAAGGTGAGAGCAGGAGAAATATAAATATATATATATATTCCTTCAAATTTCAATCATAGGGACTCACAGAGGTCCTATGACTGTGTGTCCCATTTTATGGAAGAGGAATTCATTTATCAAATGATAAAGGCAGTTGGTTGATCACATTATTCAACATAACTTTGAAAGAACCTTGGCAGGATTGTTTTGGCTAACATTTATTGAGCACTTATGTACCAGGCACTGTGCTAAACATGTTAGCCTAATTCTCACAACATCCTGTGATGCAATCCTACCATTATCACTGTGTAATGGATGACTAAAATGAGATTCAAATAAACATAACTGTCTGGGTCTCACAAAAAATTCAGTAGTGTGTGTCTGCTTCTAGAATCTGAGCAATTTAACAGTGCGTTATGCTGAAGAAACACTGCCATCAGCAGATCCAACTGAAGCAGCTCGCTGTTGCCCTGCTGTAGGATACCTAGCCTGTTCATCTGAAGTTTGAAGAATGCCAACGGGCCATGCCATTCTCCCAATGTAATAGGCCTGGGATGCCAAAGGGCATTTCTTACAAGCATCTAGCCAACAGATAGGTTAAAGGTAACAAAATGAAGTCACTGGATTGAAGGTTACTTGCTCATTGCTTCTAAGGCTGAACAATGAGCATTCAATTAAATCAACTGCAAGTGCTTGATGGGTTATTATTAATTAAAATGCTGGTCAGGAACTGGATATGGAGAGTACATGAATTCCACCTGTATTGATTTAAGTTCAAATCTGGGCAGTGACACTGGGATGCTTTCATCTCTAATTAGTTTTCGTGAATACTGGTTAAAGGATTGAATAATGCCCAAAAACCTTTCTCTCATCCGATAGAAAGCTACTTTTGGAAAAATCACTGGATCAAAATCGACCTTAACAATTTCCTAGCCCAACCCTCCTTCTTCTAAACCTCTCACTGACAAGCAGTTCTGACAAGACACATCCAGGTTCTGCTTGCATTTCTGGTCCTGGGATAGTCCAAGTCCTATCTATGGCAAACTATCCCAATGACCAGCAGTTGAGTCAGTTCTTCCTCCCTTTTATTGCCTCCCTGTAACTTCAGTCTTTGCTTGATGGAAATATTGTTTAGTTTTTTTTTTTTTTTTAAACCCTGTGAGAGTCTTCCTACTAACTGGAAACTGAGTTCTTCCTTGAGTTTAAATACCATAGTTCCTGTTCCTTGGTTAAAGGCTAGGGTGCCAGTGTTCTAACAAAGCTAAGTCTGGAAGGCTCTAGGTAGAAGTCTTACGGCCCCACAGAGCAGAGTGATCATGACATGATATGGACAATCTTGGCATTCTATGATTATAACTGGTTCTGTTGGCTTTTGACTTGCATCACTGGTTCACTCTGTTTGTGGCTAATGAAAACCCCTAAATCTTTTCTCAGGTGAGCTGTAGCTGCTGAGGAAGGTGAGATCCAATCTGTTAGTGACTAAAAATAAATGTTCATGAAATAAATTATTTTGGTAGGTATGATTCATCAGGATCAGTATGAATGTGGTAGAAGTCAATTCTCACCATCTTTATGAAAATTATTCTACATATTTCCTTGGGATCATCTGGCACATGCAATCCAAAAAACAATTTGTTACTTACTCATTAGCATTCAAGCTAGCTGTGGCTCTGATGATCATGTAGCAGAGTGTGAGAGCACTGAGGAGGCCAAAACTGGCAATAATAAACCATTCTTCTGTTGACAAAGGAAAGGGAGGAAATCACTCTGGGGAGAAGGCTTTAAGTCAAATCGATGTCAACATTTCCCTCAAATGCAACGAAGCAGACGTCAACGGAGGTAATAAGCCAAGACTGGCCCAAGGAAGTGAAGCAGGAGGAGGTTTGCCAGAGAGCTACTAATTGGAGGAGGTTAGTGGAGTAGTGGTGAGAGCTGCAAGGCAGAAAGGAAAGCATGGCCCAACCATTTCTTCCAGGTAAGGTCCTGAGGTCTGTGAGGAATGTGGCCACCAAAAACGGTGTAGTAAAAATATGTATATAAAACTGCAGATGGACACTGATTTTTTAATTATTAATGTAGATGACAGTAAAATGGATTGACATACTTATTGTCTCCTTCCTTCTTCATTTTGTCACTTCTGCATGGCTGTATCGCTGATTCTTAGAGAAAGGTTTAGATACATGGAATAGTAGTTCCCAAAGGTCTGTGGGTACTCCAAGAAGTCCGCAGGCTGGCCTTCCACAGCATTCTTGTCTACAGTATTTTCTCTATGGCTGGGTCTACTGACAGTCTTTACTAAAAAAGGACATCTCATCGGTGTCTCTTAGAAAAGTATACCCATTGTCTGGAAGCAGAACTGGCTGTTCTGCTTTGTTAAGCATAAACAGGAGGGGTAGGTGAATTCACAAGGTACCTGCCCAGCAAAGAAAGAGTGAACACCTCTATACACAGAATTAAGGGTTTTTATCTAGTCTCTCTACATCCACTCATCGATTCCCTTAACATTTCAAAGTTCATATGGTCAAGGTAATGTTCCAAAAACAATATTGAGAACCTAAAAAACAATAATAACAAAAAAAAAAGCATAACCCCACAGAAACCACAAACAAACCCAACCAGAGAACCAACATGATTATCTATAAAAAGTCTTAATTGCAAAATATTTGTCTCAGAGTATTCACTTAATCCGGGGTAGTTTATCAAAGTGTTACATGCTAAAATTCTCAATGGATCTACAATAAGGAAGATAAAAGAAACATGTATACTGAATGCCAAGTGTTTATATGCAAAAATCATGTATAACATGGTGTTTCTCAACCTGACTTTTATGAGTCCCACAACTATGCAAAACAATGTGTGTCTAGAAATTTAGCTAGAAAAAGGTTATTATTTTATTAGAGTTTAAAGGAGGTGATCTTCCATAACTGTTCTTCAGGATTCCAGAATGTTGAGTTGTTCTATGAGCATTTCTCTGCCCACCTTTTTTCATATTATTAAAATACTTTTCTTTTTAGATAAAAGTGTAGTCACTGCTTCTCAGAATACAAATTCCTTACTGGTATCACAAATTTACATGATTTTTGTTAAAGTAGAACATTCAAGAACCCATACAAAATCCATCACTTTTATTCATGTATATTTTAAGGTAGGAAAATATATATTGACAAAAAAAATTTACAAGACAACTTCTCATCAATATGAAGATGTTTAACACAGAATTCTTTTTTCTTCTTAGAGAATTTTATGCATAAGCAGACTTTCAGAATTCAATTATGTCTGTTTCCAAATCTTGAAGATAACATTCATATTTGTATGGTATTTCAACAATAAAAACCAGTAATCAAAAATAAGTGAATATTATCACAACAATACCCACTGGGCCCGAGAGTGTTAGCAGCAGTCACTGCTCTTGATTACTGCTGTCCAGCTCAGTGTGGATTTAGCACAGTGCCTTGCACACAGTGGTTGCTGGCTGAGGCACTGTAGGTGCTGGGGCACTACAGGGCTTTGAGGCACAAGTAACTTGGGTCTTTTAATCACACGAATCTCACTAACATCATGTGTAAATCCTGCTAAAGTTGAGTAATTTGATATCTGAGTAATTTTTATCATCAAGCATAAGATTTTGAAAGGACACTTTTATATAAAATATAAGTGAATCAGTATTTAATGCAGTAGTAGGTGCTCAATAAATGTTGATCATTGAAGGACCTATAAAGTTAGTTAATAAATAAGCAGCCTTTGTCTCCTTTATTACTATTAGATCAACTTTAAAAAATCTAGAGCATAAACCCTGAATGCTGAAAGCAAGAAAGTAAAAAATGCTCTCAAATCAATGAAAACAGTAAGAAATTAATACATTTTACTTATTTTATAAAATATAATAATTTACAAATATTTTATAAATATAGAAGCTCATAATGTTTATATGTCTACTTATTTCACAACTTAATAGGAAGTCTCCCTGAGTTTAGAAAAGTGACAGAACAAAACCTGGTAAATCATTTCCTAGTAATAATTTTGGGTTGACTAAAAGCAATTTTGCTTTTTAATTAATTAAACAGACTGTGTGAGTCTTACCATGTGAAGGGAAAACTTTTTTTAAGCAGTTTTATCCATTATTGCCTCCCAGAGTTAGGTAGGAGTCCCACTATGCTTAGGGCTTGAAGCTATAAGCAGGCAGCAGCATGTATTTGGAAAAGAAAGCACCCAAGTGGTGACAAGGAAGATGGAGTGAAAGGTCGTTAGATGAAAATAACATGTAAAGAATGGAATTGAAGAAAACAATGGGCAGAGTGAACGTCCGCACACACACCTGCCAGCCCACTCACACCACACTCAGGCCTGCAGCACCACACCAGCAGTTCTCAACGAGGTCAGCACCATGATGTTCATAATCAACCCCCAGCATTTTTAAAGATTACTTTTTGCTCTTCTCCTGTTTCATGTACCAAAGAGTTAAGTGCCAAATTCCAAACTGAATGAAAAAGTGCAAAGTAAATGAGCAACAATAGGTCATCTGAACTAAAGTCATGGATTTTTAGGTTCAAATTCTGAATCAGCTTTTAACTAGATGCCTGCAGCGTGGGCACTGGAGAGCAATTCTCAGAGTACAGTACACCCAAGGAGCTGAGGCCCGAAGTCATATCCCACCAAGATCCTCTAAAATGTCTGTTTGCAATGAAATCATTTCAAAGCAGGTTTATGAACAGCTGCTAAGATACAACTATTTGTATTAGTCACATACAAATACATAAGCTCCTTAGTATAAAGAAAGTTTCAACATTCCAAACATCTGCTTTAACCAAAGTACGCAGCACTTGCTCAGTCGCAGGCCACTCACTGGCCTAGTGACTGCCCTAACAGTCATTTGGAGCAGTAGCCACATGCTAGACACAGGCAGCAAATCTGTCCTGTGCTGGGCACAGGTCCACTTACTTGTTACTGCGATGTTGATCTCTCCTGTTCTAGGGGTGAGTTCCCCATCCTGAGGAAGAGGTGATATCCCCGAAGTTCGAAGGGGCTCAAGGCCAAGGGAATTGTCGCTGGTGAGGTCACCTAGAGCTGATCTTCGGTTAACTGCTTGGGTTCTGGTGAGCCTTTCCATATCAAATGCTACATTATCAGTACATGGCAAGTTTGGCTGCAAAATAGTTCCAGATTAAAAGTACTTGTAAGAATAACAAATCATTTCATAAAATTCTTTTTAGTATGGTTTTCCTCTCATTTCCCTCCCCATCTACCCTCTCCATCTTCCCCAAGAGTTTTGAAGAGAAACATGATTTCTTCCCCAAAAAATGGTACAAAGGAAAGGAAAGTTCCATTGTAGAACTAAGGAAACTGGCTACCACATCTTAATAAATGACAATCTTGTGGAAGTGGCTTTAGGAAAAGGGATTCATTATCGCCATTATAAAGCTAACAATATGACTTTGGCTCTGATATTAACACTGACGGATACACATAACATAAAATACCCTTTTCATGCTTTGGCCGCTCTGTTAATAACCTCATTCATTTGATAGTTTTAAGTACCATTTACTTTTAGACACAAGAATACAGTCAACAGCAGATCAAAAACTAAAAAGATTGTTCAAACTGTGAGAAAACTGTTTTAAAACCTAAGCAACTAAACCTGAAGGACGGATATAAAACTGTGCTGGGCCACCAACTAAAAAGCTGGATACAAACGTGGGTACAAAAATGGCCTGACTTAACAATATGGATATTTGGCATCCATAACTTTTGGAAGCAGACAGGGTATTAGAAGCAGAGTTAGGAATGGTAGCTTAGAATAGCTGTGTACACAGAAGTCAGACAACCATGCCCAGAACAATTCTCTTTGAGATTACTCCAAGCCAAATTAAAACCAAATTTACACAGTGTAATAACTATGCTCGTAATGACTATAGGAAGAAATTTATTATTATTTTGGGTATTTAAAGAAGTATATGGTGTCTTGTAGTACATTTTAGAAGGATCTTCATGAAAAACAGATGGGAAAAGTACTAATATTTCAAAGACTTAAAGGCCCAAATAACCCAATAGCCAAGAAGGCTGGAGGCAATCTTAGTGTTTTCCACTGTCTACTATGTGCCACCTATTATGACAGATGCTTCAGTAAACTCCTCAGTTGGGTGGACTTTGGTCCTACGGGAAACATGGCAATGTCGGGGAACATTTTTGACTGTTGTGACTGGGCATCATGCATGGGCACCAGCATTTAGCAGCACAGGCTGTGGATGCTGCTAGACAGTCTACAGTGTAAACAATGGCCCCGCCTAGAGGAGGGATCTAGTCCAAAACTGTGTCCAGGTGCCAAGGTGGAGAAAATGTGTTAAATGTCACATGCTGTGATCAACAGAGATGGAAGGTAAATGGTTCCCAAATGGCTGACACTTGTCATGTGACAGCGCATTTCAAATTGCACCACTTAGATCTTTGGGGTTCAAAGCTTAAAATGAGGAATTCATTTTTTGGGTCACACTCAACTTTTTGTTACCTGAAAAGATGAGGCATTCATTCATTTTTGAGACCAAAACTATTTCATTTCCCTCTAAAAAGCAACAATCTTGGATATACCTAGTCAATACTTCTCTTAAGGAACTGTAGGGTTTCTGCAAGCACCCTGGTTCCGCTAGTGAGCGCTGACTTGTCTGGTCAGAGCTGAAGTATTCCACAGGTAATACCAACCCTAAACCCTAGCCAAGTTGTTAAAGGTTTGCCTAGGATGGGGCACTGCCCACCTTCACTATTTGCAATTTATCAACACACCCAGGAGAGCAAAGTCAAACTCAAAAGGAAGGAAGATAAGTAATGATTTAGTTATATATTATGCTAAAGATGAAAAATGTAGTATGTGAACAAAGTTAAAAGTCTATATTCTATTCCTTAAAAAAAAGATCACAATGAAGTGGAGTTACATCCTTCTCTCTGCCTAAGTTCATATACCCCACCACCAAACAGAAAGAAGCACACTTGAAAATCAGACAGTCCCTTCTCTCCTCTCTTAGGAGTCCCTGACATTGCTGGACTTGGAAGTAATCTTGGAAGACACTGCTGGTTAATGAGTATTATACAGCAAAGAGAGATAAGTAGCTTTTGGGGGGTTGGGGTAGGGTGAGTCTTAATCAGCTACTTGGGCTAGGTTATGTTATACTGAGATATGACACTATATAATAGTAACAAAGCAGGAAACATACCACAATTCCCAGAGCCTTCAAAATATTAAGTTTGCACATAGGACAGGTACAATGTTCACTAAGCCAGGGATCCACGCAGGATTTGTGGAAAACATGCCTATTAAAAAAAAAATGAACAGTGTCACAAATTATATACTGAAAAACTATTAGGCCAAAATACAAATAAATGGAAATTTTAGTCTGTTTTTCTTCTTATGGGACTTTTGTTCCAAGACATAATTATTGGGGATGTATTAAAATAAAGCTGGTAGAAATCTCCTAAATTCAATCTTTTATGTCAACAGCACTGTGAGGAGTACTGGGCTGCCTGGACTTCTAACTGAATCAATTTCCAAAGAAGTTTTAAGATAATTAGGTTCATTAAAATGAAATTAATGGGGCCCTCCCTGGTGGCACAGTGGGCTAAAGCACAGCAATAAGAAGCTAAAGCCACTTCAGCATGAGCTGGATCCACTTGGCGAGGCAGACCTCTCCTGACCTGTCCACTGCTTTCCTCAGCAGTGTACTTCGTAGATCTGCCTGTTCTGCTCCCCACTCTGTCTCTGGTGAATCTTCTCACTGCCCCTGCACCTCTGGCCTGTACCCCATTTCTGTATGCATAAATAAATAAATCTTAAAAAAAATGAAGTTAATGAATTATGCTTTATAAATCAGTTATGTTTTCTATAATTACTAGAGCAGAAAAATGTAATTTCAGAAAGACCTTAAAAACAAGCACTAAATGAGTTCTCTGTATAATTGTTAATTAGCTTCATGGAACTCTGTTAAATGCCATATGAAACTACTTTAAAGGCTTTCTAAGTAACTTAAGCAAAATGTTTGTTAGTTACATGACAGTTGGGACTATTTTTAGGGATGAACTGTTTTCAAGAATCAGGTAACACTGCTTACAGTTTTCAACTAAAATGCTTAAAGGGAGAGAGAAGATGGGTGATTTTCAGAAGAGGAGAACGTTACATTCTTGTGACTGGGAAGGGCTTTGCATTCTTCTAACAGAAACTTGTGCTTTCTGGAGGGGACAACAGACTTTAAGGGAGCTGCAGAAATCATTCCTCCAGCTCAAGTAACTCCATGGCAGTCCTGACATGCTGATATGAAGCCACAGAGTTCTGGCTAAACAGGCAAACAGCAGGAGCCAGGATACACATTCTGTACACCTTTGCACTTAAGCTTAGCCAAAGGGCTGAGAGTGCTATTCTGTACACCTCTGGAGGGAACTATAATCTGAGCTTTGGGATCAGATAAAAATTTTTAGAAACTGGGCCCTCCCTGGTGGCGCAGCGGGTTAAAGCACAGCACTAAGAAGCTAAAGCCACTTTCGCATGACTTTGATCCCCGCCTGCCCAGGAGGTGACCACATGGCGTGGCAGACCTCTCCTGACCTGCCCACTGCTCTCTTCAGCAATGTGCTTTGTCGATCTGCCTGTTCTGCTCCCCGCTCGGTCTCTGGTGAAGCCTCTCACTGCCCCTGAGCCTCTGGCCTGTACCCCAGTTCTGTATGCACAAATAAATAAATCTTTAAAAAAAATTTAGAAACTAAAGCACTGTATGCTTGCTAACTTATAATTTTTATATGTAGCTTGTAAGTAGTTATATATAGCTGGTTCAAAGGTAGTCTTGATTTAACAAAGAGGTCTAAAAAACAGTTTTGTTTGGGATTTGGAAGAAATATTCATACTCACAGCTTCAGCCTGAACAACACATACACACCCACTTACTGCCATTTAGTATCTTGGTACACATTTCTTTGGGATAAGAATAAAGGTCACAAAGATCTACTCTGGAATTTGCCCTTAATGCAATAAACCTAGAAGTTTACCATTCCTGCAGAGAGTGTAAAGCTTTTTATTTAAGTTGTGAAAGTCACCAATCTGTAGTGGAGACCTACATTCATCTAAAAGACACAGGCATTTCCATTCTGTTTCTTGTTACCCTGTCTTTGCTCCAGGAGGGAGTGAAGGGCTTCTGATGCAAGGGCTCCCAGCAGCTGTTAACTGTGCCAGCATTGGCTCTTTCTAGCAGAGATTAGAACAAGGCCTTTAAGCCTTTCTGAGGATGTAAGACTCCTTTAAGTCAGACTAACTGACGGATCCTACCCTAACATGAACAAATCTGCCTATATTAATATCTAGGCCAGTTCAGGATGAGTTTATGACAGACTGGTGAGAGAAGAGATAAGGTATGGGGGAAATTGTCTTTTAACCAGATGTTTGTGGAAACTGGTTTAAGCAAGCAGCAGAAATCTGGGGGCTTTGAGAGCTTTCGCTCACCCACTTTTCACCAGCATTTTTTGTCCCCCTCCCCTTTAAAGATTTATTTATTCATGCATACAAGAACTGGGTCATAGGCTAGAGGTGCGGTTGTAGGGGGGCATGAGAGGATTCAGAGAAAGTGGGGAGTAGAGCAGGCAGTTTGACTGAAACACATGCTGAGAGGAGCAGTGGGCAGGTCAGGAAAGATCTGCTGTGCCATGTGGGTCAGCTCCCTGGCCTGGGAACTAACTCATGCTGCAGTGGCTGTGGATAAGCTTCACAGTGCAGCACTTCAACCCACTGTGCCACCAGGGAGGACTCTTTCCCATCTCTTACTGTCTTGCCTAGCTTTCTATTACTAGATAGAAATGGTACATAATTCTACAGTTTTTAAAGCTGCATCAGTTGAGTGTTCTGTTTATCTGTTTCTTTAACCTTAGTTACAAGTAGATTTTTCTTAGTTGGGATTTTTAATAGCTTCCTTGCAGATATTTTGATCTGAAAAAATATCTTGGCCGATTTACTGAACAATTACAACCTCTTCTTTGCTTAGGACACTGTAATGACAAAGATCAATTGGTCCTCTAAGGACAAAATGAAAAAGCCTTGCTTCTTTAGCTAACTCAAAATCCAAAAGAAATGTTTTCTTTCTTAAAATAAAGCTTTTTGTCTACTCACCCACCTCACTGTTTTCTTATCTCATCCCCATCCCAGTCAGTTAACACACCTCCCTCTTCTGACCTAGGCTTTTTTCATAATAGACCTGCCGAAGGTGCTCAGTCTAATTGCACAGCATATCCTTCTCTTCTGAAAACAAAACCAAGTTTTTTTCTTCACCTGTTAAACCTTCTGTGACAAGCTTATCACTTCCCTTCAGGTCACTGGTGGAACCCAGTGAGTGACCGCCCTGGTTGGTTGTGTTCATCACCCTCTTGCTTCTATCTCAGCTGTTCAACAGCTTCCTTCCTTGCAGGCCAGGTTGTGCTACTCTAGTTGTATGGGTGTCCACAAACAGCCCAAACCATGGGTCTCCTCTACAAGCTGCACGGGACATGGAGGAAGCATGTACCCCCTACCACATGAAACTGCTTGGAACAGCAAGTGCCAAAGTGTATGTGGGAAACTTAGAAAAGTACCAAGGAAGGACAAATAAAAGGAATGACTAAAACACACCAAGCAAAGGAAGGTTATAAATGGCCAGAACACTTGCAGCCTGCCTCAGACCCCAGCAAGCCAGGCACCAGAGTGACCTGTCATGGACATAAAGGCACCATAGCACCTACAGACACTGCAAAGGGGAGCACCTACGGCAGACCTTGAAAAGAGGCCCTTCCTACTACTATAAAAGACTCAGATGAAAACAATGCATATAAAAACAGAAAAGGCTCAGAGGTACGCTAGGAAGAACAGTCAGTGAGGTGTTGCCAAACAATAAGTGGTGGAAAGGACAAGTTACTCCTATAGGGAATACTTCAAACACCGAATGCCAAAGGTATGAAATGTCCAAAGACCGCTAACACGGAATATGTGCCCCTCCTTTCCTACCACTACAATGTCTCCGTCAGCAGCCAGAAAACTGATCCATTTTTGCCCCTGAGGTGGCATCTTGCCCATACAACTGTAGAAACTGCAAGACCCTACTTCTGAAAAGTATTTTTAACTACTAAAAATTCTGTAACTGACCTTTAAATAAAACAGGCTTGAAAGGGGGACAGTTTTTCAGTTTCTAAGACATGTTGGCTAGCAGCCAAAGGATGATCAACTATAATCAACTGACACAAGGAGGAGGTCCCAAAGCACTGCCAACCACCATCTGTCCAGGGTAAATAACATGAGAGAAGAGGAAAAGTAAAGGTCATGCAACAAACAGCCAGCAGCACATGAGGTTTCATAGCTACAGACAAAAAGTCTTAGTGCAGGCTCCAGACAGGCTTGTTAAAAATTAAGGACAGACAGACACAAAGGTATTGAGGATCCTTTTCTCTTTTACAGTGAGTGCAGATTCTGCCAAATTCTGGCTTTGACAGTGAAAAGCTATAGGGTGGTATTTGGAGGTGGGGTTGAAAGTGTTGTGAAAAGTGGAAAAGGAAATGCTGAGCATGTCCATATACTGGTGAACAATGAACAAAATCTGGAGGGAGCCGATAGTCAGTCACGGTCCCTGAGGAAGGAAAGGTGCTGGCACACAGGGGTTCAGGTGGAAACAGCATGACAGAACAAAGCAGGGGGCCTCCTCCAAACTGTCAGAGGGAAGGCTGGAAGGAAGGTATGCAGGTAGGAAAGCTCAGGTCAGAAAAACTGAGGAAATTTCAATTCTCTAGTAGCTACATTTTCTCTCTGAAGTTGCTGACAAAGTTATCTGCTGAGAGTGAGGAAGAAGGGGATGAGGAGTACAAGAAGAATGAACAACTGGTGCTGCTGTGAGGCATGTGGCCACCAACCAGGGAAACAGAATTTCTTAGACATCATTCAAGTCTGCTGGGCCCTGTTCAGAGTCCTGCAGGTACCAGAGTTCTTGGCAATGAGTACTAAAGGAAGACACTGCAGGGTCACAGCTGGTCTCAGATTTAAAGACCGACAGTCAAGAGGTCGGACAGGGCATCCCAGGCAGAGGAAACACAGCAAGTAGCAGAGCACAGGCAACAGCTAATTCAAGGTACTTGAGGAGAACCCACTGGAAATAAAAGGCTTGGAGATTTACAGTAAAGATGAGTATGTATGTGGAACCAGCCTCTAGGTCCTTCATTTAGCTCTTAAATGGAGACATTTTGTGGCTGTCAGATTGTATATGTGGATCTTGCTGCGTCTACTGGGTAAAGCCAGGGATACTGCCCAATACCCTAAAATGCACAGGACACGCCATCACCCCAACAAAGAATGATCTGATAGCAAATGTTTGCGGTCAGTGCTGAGACTGAGAAACCCCACCCTAGTTCAAAGTTACAATTCAGAATGTTGTTCAAGGTGCAAAGTTAATTTTTACTATACCTGAGAATCCTACTGTTGTTACCATTTCAGTGAGGTGAAATAATGGGCTAAGCAGACACTGTAATTTAGAGGAAGCTAAACATCACTGACACATCAAGCTGCTCTAACGTGAAAGGGGAACTCTGACATGGCAGTAGACATGTCTAGTCACAAAAGGACCTGATAACAAAAAGGTAATTGAATGAGCAGCACAAAGAAATCTTGTTAAATTTGTTGAAACTCTTAATATTAACATGGACCACAAAGACACATATTGAAAGCATGTCTCTGGCGGGGGGGTGGGGGGAGCACAGTAACAGAAATGGCCATGGACTTCATGGAAGGTGTGACCTACAGCACCACAATCACCCAGGTACTGAATAAAAATAAGCATGCTGGACTCCATTCAGGATGTGACTATGAAAATTCCCTGCCAATTCTGATGCACAGTTAAGTTTAGAAATCACTAGACTAAATTAGGAGGAAGCAGAACTAAAAATGAAACCTAGGAAAACCCAATGCTCAAGGAACAGAGAGAATGGGGAGCAAATTTCTACAACAGTTTACTTTTGGCCAAGGCTCTCTGAAGAAGACACTCTCTTTGTGAAGTGAAGGACTTTGGAGGCCCTCCTTCTTAGGTTCGTAGTGGTTCTGGGGGACTCTGGGCTTAAGTAAGAAGACTTAGCTTCTTCCTGATCATTCTGGTGTCAAAAGAAATCTGTGCGGGTAAAAATACTTTTAAAAAGCAAGTAACAGCTGATAAACCACATTGTAAGGTAGCCTATTGATCTTTTTCTTGATTTCCACTTGCAGTATATTTCTTTTAGACTATAAATGATAACAGTTAAAGAAAAACTGGCAAGTACATAATTTAATTTTCTATTGGACAGCTTATAGTTAGTTTTATAGATTTCCCTTTACATGTAAACTATGATAACTGGTTTCCAGAATCTTAGTTTTCTGCTTCAGTATATGAAATTACCCTGAAGTTCAATGTTTAGAAAACAAAACAGATTTTATTGACTTTGTAAATAAGTAAAATATTACTAATAGTCTTGTGGAAACAACTAATTATTTTATTCATTTATATATTGTTTTTATTAGAACGACAGAGTTGTATGGATCTGTTATAAAGGGCAGAAGAAAATGAAGAGGAAAAGTCTCTGATTCTGACTTCTTAATTGGCAATTACATATTTTTACATTTAAAAAAATTTATTTATTTATGCTTACAGTACTGGGGTGCAGGCAGAGGTGTGATAGGTGAGAGGATTCACCAAAGACAGAGTGGGGAGGAGAACAGACAGACTGACAAAGCACACTGCTGAGGGGAGCAGCAGGTGGGTCTTAAGAGGAGAGGTCTTAAAGAAGAGGCCTGCCATGCCATGTGGGTCAGCTCCCTGGTGGATCAAACTCGTGCTGCAGTGGCTTTGGAGAGCTTTATATTATGCTGTTTTAACCTGTTATGGCACCAGGGAGAGCCCAAATATTTTACACTTAACAGTCAAAACTGTATCTCAATGGGCCACATTCCTAGAATAGAGTAACACCATCATACAAATCAGCATGCTTATTTAGGAAATGTGCTGTTTTTAGGGCACCAAAGTACAGATGAATATTGCCCTCTGGAAGGTGGTATGTGTCCCAAGTAAAGGCATGGACATTAAAGGCAGACCTTTTATACTGTTGGAATTTTGTGAGCCTGGCATATACTACTGGCTTTGATACCCTTCACTGTACACTGGGGAGAAAATCTCTGACCCCTTACACGAGACAGTGCACGTAAACTGCTCAGAGCAGCAACCTTGACCGGGGCAAGTCTGCAACAACTATATTTTCGACTCTGTACAACTTAGATTCAGAGAAAGCTTTCACTCAAATTCTAGAGTTCTGGGATCCAGAGCTGAGTGATACGAGGAGGAAAGGAACAAGCAGCTAAGTTTGGAAAACCACAAGAGTACTGACATAAAATTTCTGATTTGATGCTCTGGGCTATGGATGTTTCTCACAGCTTGGAAAGGTGTATGCTTTCATTCCTGCTGAGACAGCATCGTTTGCTGCCAAATACAACTCCTACTGTGTACAGTGCATGGCCTACTCTTTTCTGCCAGAAAAGCCAAAGGTGAGGTGGCTCTCAGAAGCAAGTGGGTGCCCACTCTAAAATGAGTCATACAAACCACATCATTATCATTCCTGTAAAAAAAAGAAGTAGGCATACTTGCAGGGGAGAATCCGGACAACATCATTCTGCTTATAGCTCTCTATGCAGACAGCACAATGATCGAAGTCTGGATCAGTTTCCTAAAGTGGGAAGCACAGAAACAAAAGTTACGCACATTGGAAGTATACACATTGAGGAGACACAGTCTAGCTAAGAACTTTCCTCTACCAACTATGGCAGGCAAGTGATTATAAAGTGAAAGGTTATAGAACAGTGTAAGTAGTTTTTCATTTGCTTATATCTAAACGAGTTGATCTTGTTTTTAAACTGTTGTGATAATTAATTCTGAGTGAACTATCTTAGAAGTCCAAAGTTCAACATTTTTCAGTATTCAAATCCGCTCTCACCTTTGCCCACCCTCAAGTCTGCTTCCTATGACTTATGCATTCTATTCTGTTTAAGTAGGTTTTACTGTACACCCTCCACAATCTGCTCTCATCAGGAGGCTCATCTTTTTTTTTTTTTTTAAAGATTTATTTATTTATGCACACAAGAACTGGGGTACAGGTCAGAGGTGCAAGGGGTGAGAGGATTTACCAGAGTGGGGAGCAGAACAGGCAGAGTGACTGAAATACACTGCTGAGGAGAGTAGCAGGTGAGAGAGGAAAGGTTTGCCATGCCATGTGGGTCACCTCCCAGGCAGAGAATCAAACTCATGCTGCAATGGCTGCAGATAACTTTACAGCACTGTGCTTCAATCCTATGCACCACTAGGGAGGACCCCTCATCAGGAGGCTCATCTGACCATGGATCTAAGCACAGGCAGAAAAATTATGAGCCCCGAAAGATACTATCTTCAGACTCAAGTTCAGAGACCTGCCCAAAGGAAAGGAGCTTTTCACTTGCTCACAGATTTGGGGTGATGTGGGTGAATAGTCAAGGATCAACTCAACTCTGGATTCTTACTAAGGGTCAGTAGGAGTCAATTATCCAGGGTAACTTCCTCTTCTGGGTTGGGGGTAGGGGGTGGTTCCCTGAGCTGTCACAAAATGAACACCATCAGGTACTGAGACAGGAGAGGGGAGAGTATTTGGTGTCACCGTCACTTGTACAGAACTCCAAAGGCACAACCGTGGGCAGACCTAGGAGCTACAAACTAATGAGAAAGGACAGGTAAGTTAAACCAACCCCAGGGAATTTCAAATTAATGTAGCAGCTGAAGGTTATCAGGCCAAGAAACCATTTATAGGGTGACCACTTCTCTGGAGATAAAGTGTAGCTATTTTAGTGCTATTTATATTTTCTGCAACTGTTTTTACTTATTTCTTGCCTTAAATTACAACGAAGTTCACTGAAAATGCTTTACCTTTCAAAACTGTGTCAAGCAAAACGATGTGGTGGTGTCAAGGCAGTGGTAAAATTGGAGGATGGAAACTCATCAGAAATGATTCCATTGGCTCTTTGCTAAAATAGTGGAAGTGAGTGTGGGGCAGAAAACAGTTTTGGTTTTATACCTTTAAGATGCAATCATTCTAGGTAATTTTGAGTATAACAAATGTAGGATGTTATTTTGTCCTTCCTGAGCAGAAGCAGGGCTCCACCCTAACTTCAGATCTGACTAGGGAATTTTGGCTAGAGGTGTTAACCACAGCTGCTGTCACTGCCTCTCTGATTAGGTATCCCATACCATCAGGGTCCAACAAACCGTGCTCTTATTTCAAGCTGCTTACACAGAAAAAGCCTTGTAATCTAACTTTCTTGAAAAGTAGATTCTAGTTTTCCACCTAACTGGGCAGAACTTCCTGGCAAACTCTCAGGACGTACAGGGAGAGCACACAGCCCCAGCTACTTAGTGTACAAACTGAACCTTCAGAATTCTTTCCAAAAGTATGAAAGCTTTTAGCAGAAGAAAGTCCTGTTGAAAACCATGCGAGGAAAATTCAAGTAGTCAGCGAGGCTTTACAGGCAAGAGAACTTAAAGTCCAGGAAAGGTAACTGTATGAAGGGCTTCCAAATGACAGGCAAACTAAGAGTAAGATTTCAAAGAGAAGTCAGTATAAATTAAGGCATTAGATACATAAAGCATTGGAGAAAAATAATCTTACAGTGATTGAGGTATATTCTCTCCCACCACATAAAAACCAGAACTACATTATTATCATCATCATCATTATTATTACAGTATTACAGGTATTTCATTACTGTACCTTATCACCCTTTTTAACTGTTCTAGTTGTCAATTTGCTGATGGCTTTTTTGGCCGCATCTCCAAGACGACGCTAGGAAAATTGCAAAGAAAAACACATGTTTAGTGCAAGATCGCTGGGTTATGTTCTTTTTTCCCTAAATAAATAAAGGTTTATTAAGTCTGTTTTCCTATAGCACTCTCCATGTCACATCATATGAAAACTCTAAAAAAAAAAAATTAAAACATTAGAAAAACTGGTAGCTTCCTCATAGATTCAGCAATTTGGTTGGCTAGTTAAAAAGCATAGATAGTGAAAAAATCAGGTGTTAAATTAGTGTAGTTTGTACTTAATAAACATTTGAAGTATTACAGCATTATCAGGACCTACCTCTTGTACATGCCAGATGTACTACTACTGTTTAAACAGCTTTCCTATTTCACTGTAAGAAGGACCACTATTAGATGTATAAACTCTGTCTTAGTAAAATGACACCTTCAAAGTTCTTCAAAACCACGCCACGCATGGAAGGTGCAGTCATGGACTCCACTTCTGTCTCTGCCACTGCTATGTTCCTTGATCTTAGAAAGGTGATCTTATGTTTCTAGGGTTGAGCTATTCTCATATAAATGAGAAGATTAGCTCAGAGAATCTGGAATATTGAATTTACTCAACATTTTGGCAGATAGTGCAAGCATGGCTAGGCACCATGGACCCAAAGATGAAAGGGTGTACTCTTAACCTTGAAAAGCTAACTGAAGCAGAAAAAAAGAAAAGTAAACATATTTTAATTGAATATTGTAAACTGAGCTTTCACAAAGCTTTCACAAAGAAGATGACCCAGTGCAGGTAGGTGAGGACATCAGAGAAATACACAGAAAGTTATGAGGAAGTGATGTCTGATCAAATACTAGAAAGCTGAGTAGGGAGGAGTCAGGAAGGAAAAGCACAGGGATAAGGAGGGGCAATCTGGAAAAAGAATAGTCTAGTAAAGACAAACAGGTGTGAAGTGCAACTGCGTAGACAAAATTAGTTGGCTACATACAAGTAGGATGAACATATATCTTACCTTTCAAATTAGAAAGTTCTGCGAGTCAGAGGGCCCTATTAGTAATTTCTAGAGGGACAATAGGTGCAAACCAAGACTGTCCTAAACACACAAGAACACACAGCCAGCCTACAAATAACTGGATCCTATGTGTGAGGAGTGGCAGATGCTGAGGCTGAGGCAGTATGGTGTGGTGGGGGTTAAACCATGGGAGACCCTGTAGTCTCCTGAGAATAAAACACACACACACAATAAAAATTTTGGGGGAAAATTTAAAACATACCAAATTAAATAATTTAATGAACCTCTATCTATATTTTTCCTATTTTTCATTTACTCCTCCCCTCCTTTATTGGGCTAGGTTATTTTGAAACACATCACAAGCTTTGTATAATTCCACTCATCATGAGGCTTCATCTTATGTGTCTAACAGGCCTGGGATTCCATTTGAAAATGAACAATAATTAACTAATATTATCTAGTACTCACACTTACCCAATCGTCTCTATAAAGTCTTTTTATAGTTGGCTTCTTTGCATTTGATACTATGCCTTTCTAGTCTGCTCTATTATTCATAAACACATATAGTTTAGCAGTCTTGTGGAAATATAATTGACTTAAAATAATCTGTATATATACAAAAGTGTACAATTTGCTATTCTGATATCATCCATGAAACCATCACTAAGATCAAAATAGTGTGTTGATCATCCTCACCCAAAGTTCCTTATGCATCTTCTTTTTTTTTTTTTTTTTAAGATTTATTTGTGCATACAGAACTGGGGTACAGGCCAGAGGCTCAGGGGCGGTGAGAGGCTTCACCAGAGACAGAGTGGGGAGCAGAACAGGCAGATCGACGAAGTACACTGCTGAGGGGAGCAGCGGGCGGGTCAGGAGAGGTCTGCCACGCCATGTGGTCGCCTCCCCGGCAGGCGGGAATTGAACTCATGCGGAAGCGGCTTTAGATTCTCAGTGCTGTGCTTTTAACCCGCTGCACCATCAGGGAGGGCCCTTTAAAATTTTTTTTTTTTTTTTTTGCATCTTCTTAATCACTTCTTCCCACTCCCTTCCATCTTATTCTCCCATGACTAATTTTCTGCAACTATACTTCAAAGTTTTATATGGGGCATTCCTGGTGGTGTGAAGGATTAAGTCACAGCACTATGAAGCTATCACCAGCCACTGCAGCATGAGTTTGATCCCTGGCCAGGGAACTGACCCATGTGGCATAGCAGACCTCTCCTGTCCCACCCATTGCTCCCTTCAGCAGTGTATTTCAGTAGATCTGCCTGTTGTGCTCCCCACTCTGTCTCTGGTGAATCCTTTCACTGCCCTGCACCTATGGCCTACACTCCAGTTTTTGTATGCATAAATAAATATACATTAATCTTTAAAAAATTTATCTAAATGGCAAGTTACAGTATTTTATATGTGTTTTTTTCTACTCCATAATAATCTTGAGATTAATCCATGCTGCTACATTTATCGACAGTTCTTTCTTATGCCTTGGAGTACCTTATTGTATATTTGTATTTTTACCTGTTGATGGGACACTTACATTGTTTTTCAGTTTGGGAATGGAATGAATACAGCTGAAAACATTTTTTACTTGTATAATGTACAAGTCTTTGTAAAGACATACAGTGCATTTTCTCTGGGGTAAATACAAAGAAGGGAAGATTAACTCGTGGTAGGTCTGACTCTTTAAGTGAATGTCATTTGGGATTTACGTTGGTACTGCACTGAACATACAGACTGATTTGACATTTTAAGAACATCAGGGCTTCCCTTGCAAACTGCCTCTTAATTCTTTCATTAGTATTTTATAGTTTTCACTGTAAAGGTCTTACACATCTTATATCCTATCGGTAATTTTTGGTTTGGTATTTCTTAATTCTTGATGTTCATGAAAATGGTATTTTAAAAACTCAATTCCCATTAATTGCTTACATATAGATTCTGTACCTCTGAACCTTGCTAAACCCAGTAATTTTTATAAACTCTATGAAAATGGACAATAGTCACTAAATGAAGACAATTTTGCTTCATTTCTATTAAGTGTGCCTTTTTCTTTTTTCCTTGTTATTCAAGTTAGAACCTTTAAAATAAAGTGGAATTCAAAGTTGTCAGATCATACATCCTTTCTTGTTCCTGATTTTAGAATAAAGTATTAGTCTCACCATTACATCTCCTGGTAGCTGTTGGTTTTTCACAGGTGTTCTTCATCAGTTTAAGGAATTTATCTCTTACAGTTTAGTTTTTGAAAACCTTTAAAATCAGGATAGATGTTGGATATTGGCAATTTTTTTTTCTGTGTTTAGTCAGTACACATGGTATTCTCTGCCCACCCCTCCCCTTTTTTTTCCTTTTAAGATTTACTGTATTTATACAAGAGCTGAAGTGAAGTGGAGGGGGGTGAGAGGACTAACCAGAGACGGAGTGGGGAACAGAACAGGCAGGCGGATTAACTGAAATACACTGCTGGGGGGAGTGGTGGGTGAGATAGGAGAGGTCTGCTGTGCCCTGTGGGTCAGCTCCTTGGTTGGGATTGAACTTGTACTGCAGTGGCTGGCAATAACCTAATAGTGCTGAGACTTAACCCCTTGCACTACCAGTGAGGCCCCCATAGGGTATTCCTTTAGTCTGTTATTCTGGAACAAACAATACCTGGGTAATGATAAATTATCCTTTTTATTTTGGAAATAATTTACTAAAATTCTGTTTCGAATTTTCACATCTGTAGAGGTTTTGATAATATGAGGATTCTAGAATGAAATTGGCCATATTTCTGTCTTTTCACTAAGTTCTTATTTCTTTCTTAAATGTTTAGAGAACTCACCAGAAACTATCTGTATTTTCGGCTTTCTTTTTTGCAATGTTTTAAATATGAATGCAATTTTCTTGATACAAAGCTATTTATTCATCTCCAATGAGCTTGATAATTAGTGCCTTTTATGAAATGTGTCCACTTGGTTAGTGTTCAAATTTAGTGGCATGGGCTGTCCACAATACCTCCTTATAATCTATAGTAGCAAAGTCAACTCTCTTGTTTATGATTTTGCTAGTGTGTATTTCTTTTTCTCCTGATCTCTTTTTTCTGCTGATCAATTTGACCAGAGGTTATCAATCTTACTCAAAGAACTAGCTCTTGGAGGTTTTATTTTCCTTTTTGACTTTCTTTTCTTCCTGTTCACTGACTACTTATTCTTCTGATATTTATGTATATTTTGAGTTTAACTTACTCTTCTTTCCCCATTTTTTAAGGTATAAGCTGAGAATATTAATTTCAGACCTTTTAATCTTTTATTTTTTAAAGATTTATTTTATTTATTTATGCATACAAAAATTGGGGCATAAGCCAGAAATGCTGGGGGTGAGAGGATTCACTAAAATTCACTGCTGAGGGGAACAGTGGGCAAGACAGGAGAGGCCTGCTGTGCCATGTGGGTCAGCTCCCTGGTCAGGTATCAAACGCATGCCACAGTGGCTGGTGACAGCTTGAAAGTGCTGAGACTTTAACCCCTGTGCCACCAGGGAGACTTTCTTTTGTCTTTTTTAATACAGGTAATGCTTAATGTGGCATCTTGAAAATTATGACATATTGTGTTTATTTTCACAGTTCAAATTATTTTCTAATTACCCTTTTGATTTCTTCTTTACCTACCAATTATTTTGTTGAAGTTAGTTCTTTTTCAAATACTAGGGTTTTTCCAGAAAATTACCTGTTACTGATTTCTAATTTAATTACAAGTGGTCAGAGAACATATTTTGTATCACTTGACCCTTTTAAAATAGATTGAAACTTGTTTTATGGCCCACAGAGCACTTCAAAAGAATGTATCCTGTCTGCTTCTCTTGGCTGGAGCATTTTATGTCAATGAGGTCAAGTCAGTTGATTATGTTGCCTAAAATATTTTATATGCTCACTGCTTTTGTCTCATTTTTTCACTTGAGAGGGGTACTGAAATCTCTGACCATAATTACAGGGTTAGAGCTACTTTCACTTCATATATTTTGAAATTTTGTTACTAGTTACAAAAAGGGT